CTATCACTAACATTGATGTTAAAATAAACTTCGACTTACAAAAATTGACGTTAAATCGATTTTTATACAAGACATTTTGTAAAAACATCGATGTTTTGGAAACATCGAACGCGATGTCGCATCCTTAGGTGCTCGGTAGCGACGGCGCGGCGGCGCTATTGGTGGCGGTGGCGACGACGACGACGAGCGTGTTGTGAGGCGCGTTATTACCCCTAATTAGCGAGTGGCGTCGCGGCGGCGGCGGCCCCTAAAACAAAACGCGATCGCTGAAATATAAGAGTAATATGTTGTGGCATTCCTTCACCTGCCGCGTCATGCCCCCCTCATTCGCCGGGGCTGGTTTACAGGCAGTAGCGGGTTCATTAACATACTGCCGTCTCGCTCTTTTTGCCCGGAGGCATTGCTTTCGGTTTGCGATAGACAATCAGGTGCAGTGCGGTCTGTAATCTGCGACGTTTCTCTGCCGTTTGAAAGCTGCGCGAATTAGTCCTAGGTTTGCTCTAGAAAGTTTGCTCTGGTGTGTACATGAAGGTGTGTAACACACAGCGTTTTTTTTTCTTTTTGGTACTGACACTTGTGATAGACAGTGTAACACCATGGTATAATGTCTGTTTTGTTCTGCAATTTCTTAAATTAGTGTCTAAAGTTTGTGCAAAAATATTCTGCTAATATGGCCCTAACGTTGGAATCAAGTGAAGATATATTGTACTGCCATTTTGTTTTCTGTTAACGATAGACAATTAGGTGTAGTGCTGGTTAAAATCTGCATTTCTTTTCATGCGTTAATTGCGTAAACATTGTTTTAGTGATTATAGTGTGTCTTTAACTTAGTTTTGGGGATAGGCGGTTGAATAACGTCCATGTTGTAATTTGCTTTCTTTTTTTGTTCGTGTGTAGTGTGTAGCTAGTGTGTAGAATTGGTTATTCCCGTTGTTCTTACATTACTTAAACATAATGCTTGAAAGCGTGCAGGATATGTTTATAAGGGACGTTTGCCATAGGTGGTTGAGTTGAGAACTGCTGACCTGCCTGGCGGAAGTAACACAGCGGGAGCCGACTCAGCGCCTCGGTCTAAACGGTCACGGGTTCAAGTCCCGCCGTGGGCAGGTTTGTTATTCCCTTGTCTTTCATGTACGTGTGTTGTCGCGGAAGGCATACCGAGGAGCCGACGAAGTATGTCTAGTGTAAAGGTAAATGTGTCCCAATGACGGACATAATAGGTACCCGGCGGGGAAATTGATATCCTCTGACTAACCCCAGGGAAAAAAGTGTAATTCGGGACTGTTTCCCCTCGATATTTCTAGTTCCTTCTATCGTTGAATGAAATGTTCTGGAATTGAGCTAACAATGTTAGCTAATTTTTGCATCGACTCCTTCATTCCATCAATAGAAGTTATGCATGCGAAAATTCATTACGCAAGTTCTGTGTTCTGGCAGTTAGATGCATTGCGTGATGCAATGGTTCTTAATCTCTGAAAAACATTTCTCTAATTGCATGTTAGCTTACAGCATACGGATATACTTTCTGTTTGCGATCGCCACCGAAGAGATTAATTTTATTTAAATTCCTTCAAGTTTGTTCTGTTGCTGCATGATATACGTCTTAAATTACGTTGAAAAATTTCTGGTAGTGAATAACATTGATCATTTCTGATGTGAGACGCAGTTAGCATGGGCTGTGTTATGATCTTACAGGAGATAAGGTTTTCGTTTTACGATTGAAGTTGAAATTGTTTGATGAAGTTATGGTTCTAATAGACATTGCTTCTAGTTAGTGGATACACTAACGTAACTTGATTCGAGCCGATATTTCTCCAGAGTTCATTTGGCATCCGTATATACCTTATATCTTATTAAATGGGTTATAAATACATGCCTGAAGATGTGTCTCTACCAAACCTGTAAACGAATGATTCGTGTTACGTTTACAATTTATTACTATTAACCAAGGCATAAAACGTAAAAAAACATCGATATAATGAAGTGAATCGTAAACTCGCGAGTTTTAGGTAAAGAACCTTTAGGAAACATAATGGAACTTGGAATAGCATTTACCGGTTTTGAATTTTAAGAGTGACCAAAATCGAATTAGCTCCCTCGTGTCATTGGTCGCACTTGACCATCTTCTTCCTCTAAATATTATTATTATTAATTATTTATTCTTATTGTTATTATTATTATTATTTGAAATATTTCTAAATAACTGCAATTATTGCAGATACTGTGCATGCAGCGAACACGTTACTACGCTCCACCCTAAGAGTTTTCGTAACAGATTTACCGAGAGATTTCAAGCACCTAATGCAGAGACATAAATATTCATTACGGCCAGCTGGTGCATTTCATTGAAGCATACCCCAGATGCAACACGGTTGGAATGCTTGGGTTTGTCGCGAGCGGCCCCGCACAAAGCACGTTCCCGTTGGCCGACACCGGTGCAAGAATCTCCATCAAATGACTTTTACGACTTCGCTACGTGCCGGCACCGCTGTGTGGCCAAGGGCGAGCGAGCTGGCCGTGAAGCAAATTCTAATGGGGACATCGTCGTTATTTCTTAATAGCTTCCACTAGTAACTCGCGCACACCCCGGGAGGACGTGCGGAGCCAGTGGGGCCGCACAAAGGTTCGGAATGAGCTCCAACGAGAGCGTGTCAAAACAAGAAGTAATTTATCGCCCCGAGGTGCATTCGTTGTTGAAGACGTATATGGTCTCGGGTCATCATTCAGTATTTATGGCGGTGCTCTTTAAAGCACACTTCGCGCGAATTCGGCTGGGGAGGGGGGGCGTATTGTCTTTGTCCATGTGAATTTGATGGTCCTAGGACAAGAGATGGCAATGAAAGGTTGACTGTGAGCTCGTCATTTGGGGCTGTGGACTACTTCGGACCTTGTCCTGACATCTGCGTGCTCTGGAATCCATACCCTTTTTGGACTTGGTTTAGCCAGGACTGCGAGCGCCACAGCTCTCCAGCAGCTCGAGAGGTTGAGAGCCCGGAGTAAGCAACGAAGGGCCACGGACAGCCTTTTTGGTGAATGTTCTCAGCAAGGGAACAGAATGAGTAAGATCATGGGTGTCCGGGTTGACGATGCGCTGAGGGCAGGGTGATGACAATTCGACCATCATACCATGGTCTTCTTCAGGACTGGAATGCGCCAGGATGGTTTTTCAGATTTTCCTCTTCAGTAAACCTGAAGAAGCGGAGTTTATTTCGGTATACAAAACTGCAGCCGATTGGGCTTTTACAGTAAGGGAAGGACCTGAATAAAATAAACTATCATAATTTATTCCTCAACATTAACTAATTTTAGTGGGTCACTTTGAGCCTACTTTAGGTAAACATAACATATAATAGTTTTCGAAAGGTCTTTATAGTGTTCTGATTATTTTTTCTTAAATTTAACAATCACGCTTTCATTCATTCTTAAACTATATATTCTCCCATTCACATTTTCTATCACAAATACACACAACACTTGACAGCGTATCCAGGATGGTTTTTGTTTATTTTCGCCTCTCCAATAGCCCTGGAGAGGCAGGAACTTATTTCGTTTTAGGGACTACAATCGTTTATCTGCAGCCGATTAAGCTTTTGCAGGTGGGAAGGACTTTTATCTTAAACAACAAACAAAAACTAACTTATAACTAATATATACCCGCTTTGGGGTTTTCTGGTTATCATTTGTGTAACTATTTGTATATTTATCAGTTCTTTTTATTGTTCTTAAGTCTTCATCTTTCTTCTTTTTATCACTCTCACACGCATTCACACATATTTTTAAAAACTCATTCATTCATTCATTCATTCATTCGTTCATTGCTGCTGATCTGTGAATGTCACGTTATTAGATGTGGACTTTTCTTTGCGGATTGGTTCTTGGTACATTTGTGAAGAATGTAATTTCACGATGAACTTTGATAACTAGTAGCTGTGAAAACGCTTATACATTCTCACATTAATTCTAACGTTGTAATTTTCGAACATTCAAAGATCAACGAAAATTAGTAACAGGGAAACGGACGAACCCTAAAGAAGACCACGAAAAAATGGTGGAAATGTCGGCACCGCAGATTTCGACGCGGCGTTGCCCGGTCAGCCAAGAGTACAAGCTGATTCATTTTGTGTAATTTTTAATATATTAATTTATGAATGTAGTTAATTGTGCATGAAGTATAAATAAATGGCAATAAACACTCATTCTCAAATGCCAACATGAAAGCGATTCTTGGCAATTTCTATGGTTATTATGCTTATCGCGTAATTAGTCACTTTCGCTTCAATTCAATTTTATCATGAAAATTCGCTAAAATAATTTTCAGCGATTATCAATTCAATCATACAATTCTTGATCTGCTTATGAAATCGCTCTTCTTTATCTGTCGCTGCTTCTATTGCTAAATCAATAACATATTAAGTTGTTATCCATAATGTTTTGACACAATTCTTTATCATTCAGGATTTCTCTACTTTCAAAATGCCCTTTCTTGTTCGATTAGTGAGCATCCTAATGTGATCCCTGTGCATCAAAATTTCGTTTCGTGGCATAGAATGTATTTTGATTTGTGTGCGAATCTGTACACAATACTGCATAGTAGTTTCATATAAATGTTTGCCTTTGTGACTTGTTTTCAGTTTCTTTCCGCTTGTAAAATAGAATTAATACTCGTAAATAAGAAACCATTCGTTTCAATTCCCTGTCTAGGATTTTTTCTGTGTCAATTAATAGTGTTAGGATCACACGTTTCTCATGCGAGGTCTGCTCTTTCGCACAGTTGAAATCTCCGGCAGGAGGGACACAAACAACCCAGAGAGCGGGCGTTTTACACCATAGGTAGCTTTACGGAAGAAATGTGCCCGCCCATCGTGAAGTCGTCTTTCTCCTTTCTTGAATTCCTCTCTGGAACCTCTGTTTGTTGTTACTGCCGCCGAAAGCGCTTTGAATTCCCAGTGAAGTACGATGGAAGTTGTACTAACATGATTTTCTTTTTTTTTTTGCTTCAGGTGAGTGCAGCCGTTCCTCAAAACAACCTGTGCACCGGCGCGTTCGGCCGGAAAGTTGGGAACTGAAGGTTCCTCGGAAGGTGAGGTTATTTTAGAAACTTCTTTTACCTTTTCGTGCAAAATCACATAGAGGATGAATCTCGTATAGAAATCGGTAGTTTTCCACTTCGCGGAAAGCGTCGTTTATTGTCAGTTTGAAATTTACATTTTGATTAAATTCCAAATCAATCAACTTTTTTAGCACAGAAAGTATTGAATACGAATGTTGTTTTTCATTCATTGGTATTTTTCAATAGATAAGAAAAACGGAAATTTATCGGTTTTTAAGAATATTTAGGGCCTTATAAGGGCAAAGGAGCTTAATACCAAAATTTTCGATTCGAAGGTTTTAACATGCAAATATTATATAAATCGGTGCTAATACACATGAGTATATGACAATAGAATGAGTTCCAACACCTTCCAAGTAGTTATAACATCTACTAATAGAGGGCTCTGTATGTTGTATGTTAAGAATACGAAATCATACAGCTTTTATTAATTTTCTGGAAAAACATGTTTCGGACTTAACATCCTTGGCTTTGCAAGGCCTCACTTAAGGTCTTTTAATCCTTGGTTTCGTACGAGAAATTTCGGATGTTTAAAATTGAAATTATATTTGATAATAATAAAGAATGTATTACCTCATTTAATTATAGTTTTGATATATGTTTCTTTGTTGGTTTTTTGTTTATTTTCTTTATTTTTTATGTTTCCTGCACAATTACTGTTTAGGGTTACCTTCATATTGTTTCATGAATTATTTATATTATTAGTTATCTCCGTTATCGCTTAAATTTCGAATTCCGCTTGAACATATACCCATGTGTTGTCGCATGATGCGCACTTCTACCTACCATGAATAAACTTTCTGACATCATTCCATGGTATTCTAGGTATGCCCTAGTGATGGATTGTATGAACCTAGGAACATGATGCTTGTGAAACGTTCGCATTAAACTCGAACGGGAATTTCCTATGCTCATGAGAACCCTCCGACAACAGTGAGAGAGCAGAGTCGCTAGGTGACACATAGTACGGGTCTTGGGGCCGCAACTGGAGCTACTTACGAGCGCTCATATTCGCTCTAAAACTTGATCAGATGAATGGGCATGTAAGGTGTCTAATGGAGAAAAAGACACTTTCTGAGGTTATGTAGTTCCTTGATATCGTTACCACCTGTTGAGATAGTTGTTGCCAATGTTGCACCGATGACGGAGATACTGAAGAGAGCTGGAAGGGAATACCCCGGAAAACCGACTTACTCGACGAGTTGAACGTTCGAGCGTGAAACAATCACCGGCATCTCCGGCCTATACTATGCACTATACTTACGGGCTGTGACCAAAACAGATTACGTGCTCTGAAACAAAATAAACAACAAATCAAAGAAAACAGATGAGCCACTACCGGACAGCCAAGTGTTCCTTAGCTATCTTTAGTGTTAATCTGCAGTACGTGTCTGGAGGACGGCAGGAGCGCGCGCGGTTGAACGAGTGAGCGGGTGAGCCGAGTGAGCGGGAGAACCGGGTGAGCGGGTGAACCGGGTGAGGGGGTGAACCGGGGGAGCGGGTGAACCGGGGGAGAGGGTGAACCGAGTGAGAGGGTGAACCGGGTGAGGGGGTGAACCGGGTGAGGGGGTGAACCGGGTGAGGGGGTGAACCGGGTGAGCGGGTAAACCGGGTGAGCGGGTGAACCAAGTGAGCGGGTGAAACGGGTGAGCGGGTGAACGAGTGAGCGGAAGGGGGAGCTGGAGTACGGGATAGCGGAATCGCGAATGAGCGGGAGAGCAAGTGGGAGAACGAAATAGCGGGCGAGTGAGCGGCCTGCAGAGCGAGCAAGCGGCGTCGCGGAGGTGCGGACAAACGCGGAGCGACGGGGCGGGAGTCGGGCGGCGCCCGCGGGCACGCGATCTGTATCCGCGCAACGGCTCCGCTCGCTTCGCCTCGCCTCGGTGCGGAGCGGCGCGGAGCGGCGCGGCGTGCGACGACGTATAAGGCAACGCGCATTGTGCGGGGCGACGCGGGTCGTTCACCCGCCTCCGCTCGCGACGCGACGCGACGGGCCGCCGCTGCCGCCGGCGGAAGCGCAAGAGCCAACCACCGCTGGGACGGGGAGGAAAGATCCAACCACGAGGGTTGCTGGGACAATGTCGATACGAGCCAACTGCAGTAGTTGTTGGGATGGCGTCAGAACGACCCAACCACAATAGTTGTTGGGATGGCGTCAAAACGAGCCAACCACAGTAGTTGTTGGGATGGCGTCAGAACGACCCAACCACAATAGTTGTTGGGATGGCGTCAGAACGAGCCAATCACAAGGGGTGCTGGGACGGTGACGAAACGAGCCAACCGCAATAGTTGTTAGGTTGGCGTCAAAACGACCCAACTAGAAGTGACGCTGAGACTACGTCGATACATGCCAATTACAATAGTTGGGAAGGCGTCAAAAACGAGCTAATCTCAAGGAGTGCTGGGACGGGCTCGAAGTTAACTAACCACAAGAGATGCTGGGACGGGGTCGTCATGGGATGCTAGGACGGCATACACGCGAGCCATCAAGAACAGATGCTTTGACGGCGACCAAGCGAGCAAATCAGAAGGGAGGCTGGGATTAGATTGAAAGAGCCAACTTCAAGGGATGCTGGGATGGGGTGAAAACTAGGCAACCACGAGATGATGCTGGGACGGTATCAAACGGGGTTCGAAACGACCGAACCACAAGGGATTCTATGAAGACGTCGAAACGAGCGAACCACACTACTTCTTGGGATGGCGTCAAAACTAGCCATATTCAAGGAGTGCTGGGACGGGTTCGAAGCGACCACAAGAGATACTGGTACGAAGTCGAAACGAGCCAATCGCAAGGGATTTTGGGATGGGATCAAAAATATCCTTCAACAAGTGATGCTTGGGTGTAATCTAAACACCAGCAGAAATAGTCGTTTATTCTTGTTGATAATATCTAATGTCAGGGTTCTGTACAATTGTACCTTGGCCCATATCCTACTTGGACTGTATTGTTCGTCATTTTCGTATTTGGCATAAATGGGCTGAAAATGTCACGAAGTGATACATTTTAACTCCCATTATCCTGGCCATGAACCAATATAATTACGGCGTCAATCGTACTTGTGCGGCCCAAAACATTTAGATAATTAAAAAAAGTATTAAAATATGTATTGCGTGCATCTGCCGATCCTATTGCTATGAGGGTTCTGGCTTGCAAATCCCGAGCATGCAGATTCAAACGAGGAATCCGTCATCGATGTTGTAGCTTTTATTCAGATATCGGCGGTTTAAACATCAATATATTAAAACAGGTTTATTAATATTTTGAGCTGTTATTTTTTGAGAGTGTGTGTGAAATAGCCCCATAATCATATTGTTCAAAGTTAAATTATGAAATAATAACTGAAGCATCGCTATTCATTCTATCTTAATCGAGAAGACTAACCCTCCCCCGAGAGATCACTCAGATGCTCTGGTATTTCGTAATCCTTGGAATCCTCAAATTTCGTACGTGGAGAAGCAATGCAACGCATGTGCATAGGGGTAGAGCCTTTCGCTTTCTCACATCTCTCGGCCATCTTATCTGATGAGCGTTCGGTGCTGATAGTTTTACTATGTGTCGCCGGCTATTCTTAATTGTGAATTAATGAAGGAGCTCACTGACACATTAATATGTCCTTCACCCGCGAACATTAATGTTTAACTGGTTTTGAAAACATCGTTGGTTTGGGGGCAAAGTATTATTTATATCGATGTTATATTTTTGAACATCAGTGTTTGCAAAAAATCACTTTTTGTGGTTCATGTCGCATCAAACGCTGCGGGGGGTGTTCTTTCCCAATGCGTAAAATACGCATTGTGCCATGGCATATTTTTAGCAAATAACATAACCTCCGCTGAATGAACGACATTTTCGTTCAATAACGTTTTTGTGGTGAATTTATTGTTACTGGGGTGTCCAAAACAAATGGTACGTGATTCAATGTTCGTGACGTAATTTTTGACATTAATACTAGCCTCTGTAGCCGGTAAGGTGCTGTTCTGGTTATCAATGAGACGAAATAATTAAAAGCGATGTAGACAATTGCAGCAATATTTCCACTGGTGACCAAATCTATTCTATACATTTTTGTTCTGGTATACAACATATTATATTTTAGGAAAATGGATTTCCTTGAGGTCAGATAACGCTTTCTACTCTATTAAAGAGTCGAGGAATTTCAGCGCCTAAGGCCTCAAGATGTCACTAACCTCTCACCGGGAAGTTTTAGGGTTCGAGTAGCGACTGTGGCAGGATTTTCAACACCAGCTACATTGCCTCTATCTGGAGGAGACTTATAGATGCCGGGTGCTCTGGTCGGTCGTTTTCCGTGGTGTCTACGATCAAAACCAGGCGCGGAATTCTAACAAACGGAATCACGATCTTTCCTTCCTCTTCCTTGCCCTATCCTCACCCCCTTGACTTACATATACATTACACACCACACTACCACATACGTTCGGAGCTTAGAGCTTGTCGTGCAGTGCTTCGTTGGAGGAGAAACCTCTTTGGGGAAAATGGCGACGTGTAGGTCGGCGCCTGATCTGAGCATCCAGTGCGGAAAAAACACCGTCAGCTCCCATGATAAAACATGCACTTCAAACATGCACTACACTTGCGAGACTAATACCTGCAGCCGTTGACGCGTCCGGATACCCGAAACAATCTATCGAAGAACCACCTTTGGTTCATGAATGTCAGAATAACGTGGTCATCAATGAACCTATGATACTCATACCTGTTTCACCTCCCACCAATTTGATGGAGGCCTCACCCATTTCAAGTGATTTCAAAGAAACTTTTCCTTCCTCCGATACAGAAGTTGTCAACTAACAACGGAGTGGTACTCATACCTGTTTCACCTCCCACGAATTTGATTGGAGGCCTTATCTCCTATCAAGTAACTTCAAAGAAACTTTTCATTCCGCCGATCTAGAAGAAGTCAACTAACAACGGATTAAAAATCTCGGGGCCCCACGAGGCCTCTTCGTCCCGGAAGGTTTCAAAGCTCTTCTTGCGAGTCTGTCGTCTGCAAAGCGTCCTGTAACTGCTCGGATATCGAAGCTGCATCAAAAACTGCTTCGTGCGCAAAGCGGTTGGGGCGTGATTCTCAACGCGTGATCTGCTCTCCCGCGATTTGTCTCAGCTGTAATGCGATTGCTTGTTTTACCGTTTGGTCTCTCTGATAACGCAAAGCAGGATGTATGCAGATCAAAGATACGTGAAGAAGTGAAGAGGAAATGTAAATCATTTCAAAAAATCCATTGTTCGTTATAATAGTTAATTAACATAATTTGAAATAATTGTAGCTAACAAAATTTGAATAAAAAATCCAACTTATATTTCACGTGACCTTTCCTTCCTCTGCCATGTTCCATCCTCACCTCATACTTTCAAACACACATACGTGCTCCACACTACCGCACCTGCCAGGAGACCGATCGGGAGTTTAGAGATTATTCGGCTGGAGTGTTGTTCCGCTGGGGAAGATACCTGGTTGGGAAAATCCGCTAATGAACCTACGTATAGGATCAAAATCTCACCATTCAGGAAGGGAACAATACTGCCTCTTACCATGATAAAACATTCACTACACCTGTGGGTCTAACCGCCTCATCAGATGTCGCAAGGGGAATCACCAATCGATCTAGTATATGTAATTACGCCGTGGCAAATCTGCATTTAATAAATGCCTAACATGTCAGCCGGATTTAATAATGTAAGAATGATATGTACTTCGCACGACAGCCCGTGAACGTGCTCAGGACTACCGGCGACGGTCCTGACTCGCAGCACTGAGTTAGGGTGTACGTGTGGTTACTAGGTAGACATTCTCACTCCGTATTCCGACTTGTGAACCTGAGACGTGGATTTTTGCATCGTCCCAACAGCAACAAATATTTGGACATTGCAAGGAAAACGCGCACTATAATGTTGCCTGACCGGGAATCCAACCCGGGACCGCGTAGTAAAAGCGAGCTCGTTAACCTAACACTAGGTACGAGGCTGGGATTTAATAATATGTAAAAACGATCGTAGCACGTAAGCATAATACCCTTAGAACTTCACGCGCCCGCAGACACTAATCAATCATTCAACCGTCGTGTAGCTGTCGCGGGCTCCACGCTGGGTGCCTGGCGAATTCCTCTCACCCGGGGTCCAGCACGGCCCCCTGCAAAGGCCGCCGCCGCCGCACGCGGTCCATGATTTTAATTGCGGGAATCCACCTGGACAGTGCGTCCAGCTGCGCCGATTCCTAACGAGCAAAAACCGCCGCAGGAAGCGCGCTTCCTCCGACTGTGTAATTCGAGCGCCTTGGTACTCCTTAGGGGGCCGCCGTGCTATTACGGAGGGATAGGTCCAAACGAAATGGACGACTTAATGGGGAGATGATGTGATAAATTCAGATGCGTTGATGGAATGAGTATTTGTCCGTAATTACTGTTGCGGTTTAATGTGGTGAAACGTGTACCATTTTAGTTTAATGCTTTTCAATTGTATGCAAACATCCCAGCCGTTTTATCTTGAATTCTCCATTCCAGAGGATAATGCGGATATTTCTGAATTATGGTTGTTTTATAATTGTTGCCGGAATTATAGTTATCCTGAGTATGCGTAATTTCATTACAATATAATTATAAAAGCAAAATAATGTATATTTGAATATATACGTTATATAGCAGAATCCTGAAAGATGATTGCAGAATCCTAAATGGAACACACTATTATAAAAATGCCATAGCGTGCATATATGCGTACATATGGATGAATGTGGCGGTAATATAAGTTTTCATACATAAAATAAAATGACATATTCAAGCCCAATACACTGTCACATATATCTCTTATTTTCTTGAATATTTCAATCGTTTACTGTTATGAAGGAACCACATAAGCAAAATGGTGGTTTGTATACTCCTTGCTGTGAAGGAACACTTCAAGCAAAGAGTGTTAGGCATTTATTTAGCACATTTGTTGAAGAATATGTTTCGAAACGCAACTGCATTACATTTGCTGTAGTTTCTTCATTTGAATGCCTTTGTGGATTCTGTTGACTGCGCGCACCCAAGATGGAGTCTTCCAGTCTGCGCGTTGGAAATGAAGCATTATGGTGAATGGAGGGCGCAAACGGTCTTTGGCGTCGCGGCGCCAGCCCCACCACCGCCGCCGCCAGCTCCGACGCAATTACGCTTCGTTTCACGGAGGAACGACGCAACTAAAACTCATTTAGCGGGAGACTACGGAGTTGATGGTGATAAAACACGTCGTTTTTTCTGCTCCTCTCCGGCCTTCGTGCGGTATCGTTCTGCGCTCCGCCCCCTTTCCTCCCCGCTCCTTTCTACTAGCCCCCTCCGCCCCGCCCTGTTCGGCTGCCTCCCGCTCTCTGTCCCGCCCTGCTCTGCCAGGCTTCACTCTGTCCCGCGCCGCTCTATCATTCTCCTATATCCCTCCCCGCTCAGTGTTGCCCCACTCTATCCCTCACGCACTACGCCGCCCTGCTCTATCTACCCACTCTATCCCGCTCACTCTATCCCGCTCACTCTATCCCGCTCACTCTATCCCGCTCACTCTATCCTGTCCACTATATCCCTCTCTATCCTGCCCACACAATCTCGACCTGCTGTGTCTGACCTCGCTCTATTCGTCCCCACTCTCTGCCTCCCCTGTATTCCTCCTCGCTCTGTCCCGCACTTATCTAACGCACGCTCTATTCCCGCCCAGCTCTGCAAGTCTTCGCTCTTCCTGCCCCACCCACGCTCTAATCCCACCCCGCTCACCCCACCCCGCTTTACCCACCCCCGCTTTACCCATCCCGCTCGGACCCATCCCGCTTATCCCACCCGTACTATCCCACCCCACTCTACCCCCTCCCTCTCCATCCCGCGCAATTCGCTCCGCTCTATCCCATCAGACCCCTCTTGCTCTGATCCCGCCCACCCGTTCCATTGCGCTTTTCGTATTCTGCCCAAGGCTCCGCTCCTATCCGCCTCGCTTTGCTCCTCCCTCGGATCGTTCCATTTCCCCTGCTTCTCTATTATGATGTCCCCCGCTCACTCTCTCTGCCCCCCCCCAACCAGCTCCATTCCGCCCCACCATCCCGCTTTATCCTCGCCGTTCCACGCCCATGCCCATCTCTTCCTACCTTCAACTCAGTTCCTAAACGTCCTTCCGTATCCCGACTCATCGCGCTCTATCTCGCCCCGACGTGTCCCATTCCTTCCCTTCCCCATCCCTCTTTACCCTTCTAGACCTTTCTTTCATCGACCCGCTCCGACCATCTCTCCCCCATTCTGCCCCATTCCTCGCTTCTCTCCGTACTAACCGACAATGTACCACCGCCCCACCTCGAACTTTCCCCCTCCCGTCACGGACACAGTCCCCGTCATACTCCTCTCCGTTCAAACAGGTCTCCTCATTCCATCTCATCCCATCCCCCCCCCGTTCATCTCACCTGGTCCATGCCGTCAGGCCGCGCTCCTCCCGCCGGCCTATCCTGTCTCCTCTCTACTCTGCCCCCCCCTCCGCTACTGTCGCCTTCCTCTGTTATCTGCGACCCTTAAGTGGCTCCCTCTGCAAGATGCAACGGGCGCCATATTTCAGACAAATCCGGCTTTTATCGCCGCCTGCGTTCCTTATCGCCAGGTTCCAGCAGGGCCCTCTTAAATTTTCTTTAATAAAATTTAATGAGTCTGTCTTTTATATTTTGAAAGTGCGGGACGAACGGTTGATTCGATGATGGGGGAGCGTATGAGGATTACTGAGGGAATGAAGGAGAGAACAGACAGCTGTAAATAGGCACAAGTAAATGTAAATAGTGAAGGGGAAGATACGCCTATAGTCAGGACGTCTGGTACTCAACATTTGAAGCAATTATATTTTTATCATTCTTTGTCATTTCCCTTTTTTGACATTTAGAAAACTTATTCCCCATCATTTCTGTATTAATATTTTTTAGAACAACCAAATATTTTGGTCATTTTTTGGGTTATTTAAATAGTGATTACATTCGTATACTTTCCTAATATGGCATTTTCTTTCTTTTCGGTGATTTATTTAAAAGAACAAAAACAGAAAGGGAAGAGCACTTTTGCCATCTCGCACATTTACATTTCAACTCGTGATATGACTAGCTAGATTGTAAATGATACTTAACGATATAAACTTGCGTCAATTTAAATCAACATTTTTCAATTTCTAGTGACTGAAGTGTCGAAACATTTGATTTGCATTCATTGGTCGGATGCATTCAATAAAAAATTGAAGTTATTATAAAACCATTTAATTATTAATACGGAAGTGATTACCAGAGCACTTATCACAATCAACTACGAAACCACAGTACCCATGAATCTTGATATCACTCTACAGCATAGTAAAATGTCATCGATAGAAAATAAAAAAAAGTATAGATAGAGTGAGAGTTTAGTGACACATTTTTTAACATCTCGAATTCTGAGCAAGGGATATGTGTTTCTTTTCTAAACTTAAGTGTTCGACGCGACGCAAGAAAGACCAGCAGTTTCAGGGAAAGAATCGAATGATATTAAATACATTTGAAATCACGTTACAAAGTACACTTTCGGTCCAATTCGTGGGCGATGTACCATTGTTCTTTCCGTAATTTGAATTTTATATTTTTAACCAGCAACCTCAAAATCTCCACTTCAGTTCGAAATTGAAACTGTCATTGTTAGCAGAGAACTCAAAAGACAATGCCTTGCAGTCGACAGAGCAGATGATAGGAAGGTCGTGAGTTCGACTCTGGCAAGGTCTCAGAAATTACCTTGATGTATTTTCATCACAGAGTTTGAGAGACGTTCCTCGGACCATGCCCGGACTGACCTTCCCATTTCCTTTCTAAGCAATGAGTATGGAAAGGAAGGAGTATGGGGGGCGTTGAGTGTGGGAGCAGTGGTGAGTGTGGGGGCAGTGGTGAGTGTGGGGGCAGTGATGAGTGTGGTGGAGGGAAAAAATGAGAAATCTCTTCCTGTACTTATCCCTCCCCATACTCATCTATTCCCATATTCATCCCTTCCCCTATTTTATTCATTTCCATACTGACTCCCTTTCCGTATTTATTCCTTTCCACATTCATTGCTTTTCTTCTCACTCCCTCCGTTTCCATTCCCAGTCGCCGATGACCGCAGCGGTTGAAGAGCCCTAATACCCCAATCATTTAATCGAAATTGAATAGACAACATTTGAGGTTTTAGGCCATACTTCCGACGTTTGACCACAATGTGTGTCGCCTCCCGGGCGCCTGTTTCGGGCCTCGCCCTCCCGCGGCCACCACGCCCTCCCACACAGCGGGCAGAACCCGAAACTCACGCGTAAACGCCGTCTCCCCTCCCCTTTCCCCTTCACCAACAGTCCGACTCGCCCCTCCGTCGCCGATGATTTAC